AGTATATTTATTATTTTTAAAGAATTTTTTTATTTTAAATTAATAAAATAATTGATATATAATAATTATTAAAAAGAATAATTTATTATTAAAAAATTTAATTAATAGTATATAAATTAAAAATTATCTTTAAATTCTTTAAGACCAGTTAGGACTTATTAGGACTTTACCAACCCTACTTCTAAGGGGTCATGGTATTTCTCAAACTTTTGAAGATATTCTCTTACGGTTTTATCAGCCTCTTCTACCATTTCTTGATTACTGTAGCCAACAATATTGAGTTCTTCCTGAATTGCTATTATATCCTCTTCTAAATACATAAGCAAATTAAATATCTCCTTTAATGAAATATCTGCGGAAACCTCATTACTTTGATATTCTACTTCTAGAATAGGATTACTATCAATGTTGAGATTCTCCTGTATCAGTATTAAATCCCCTACCAATTATAATAACAGTTCATATGAATCAGCAAGTGTTTTCTGCCTTTTTGCTTCAATAATTTCCATTTGATTTACATTATCACTAATACTGAGTTTTTTCTGAATAGCTATTATATCCTTCTTCTTATATAATAGTACTTCATATAATTAATTAAGTGTTTTGGGATTATTTGCCATGATTGCTATAATAAAGTAATATATTTAATGTGAAAATTTCGAGTCTGAAATACAGATCATCATCACGGAGTGGTAATCACCAGTTTGAAAAAATTTGCTAATCCATACATAGTATCTGTCTCTTCATTTTTTTCTTCGAGATTTTAAATTCACTCTTCTAAAGTCAAGATTATGGTTTGTAAAAAGAATAAAAGACATATTCAATCTACACTATCGGTAACTTCAACATCAACCAATGAAACTCAGCCCAAAAGCTTGATAGTAACGAATACAGAATTGTGAGAACTTATTCGTCAAGGTCTAGTAGTTGATGAAGTTTATGAAGTATTATCATATGATCGAAAAAATATGCCTTAGATTGATAACTTTATTAATCTTTCGATTAAGCTCGAAAACCAATTTAATGAAGCATATCACTCCTTAATGAGAGAACTCTTTAGTATGAAGGCATTTCGTGATATTTTCAGTCAAGATGAACTCGTTTCTAAAGCAGAATATTATAGAAATAAAATAGATACTCATATAACTGATTTCATCATTCTAATGGGATAAAGTAAAAAAGGATGGTTAAGTCGTGGATCAATTGCGATATGATGCCAAAAATAAAGGTCCTAAAATGCGTGAACAAATAATCATTTTCTAAAAGATATTCTCTCAAAGTCATGTAAATTTTCTTGTCAAAATTTGTTTACTTTGAGTAAGGGAAATCACATGATTTTTTATTTTGAATTCTCATATACAGTGTTTTAATTATAGACCATGTTAACTGAGCAAGAATTATTAAAGCAACGTAATGATAAGCTTGAGGCTGAGAATGTCTCACTTAGAAGAAAACTTGCTGATTTTGAAATTGAGAAAACTAATTCTGAAGCTGAGAAAGTTGAGCTTAAGGTCAGGATTGCTAAACTTCTAAGACAGACTGTGGAAGAAAGTAAGAGACATGATATTGAGGATACTGAACTCAATGCCAGAATTGAGAAATTGGAGAAAAATAAGGCAGATTCTTTAACTGAGAATGTTAGACGTGATGATGCAATTGCTGAACTTAAGGCTGAAATAGTAAAACTAAGGGATGACAATGAGGAAACAAACAATAACCCTTTCTTCAATCAGAGATTTCAGAAAATGAGCAGAATACCATTATTCTGGTTTCGAATATATGTGAGAAGGCAGTCATGAGTAATCAAAAGCTATTAGAGGATAGGAAAATGGAAGCTTTCTTAGATAATACACATAAGAAAAATATTAGTGATGGAATAAGATAACGCAATAAGGAAAAGTAACTTAATAAAGTAGGACAAGCGCCTTTTGACCAGGATTATGAATCAACACAAATATTATCTAATGTTTCAACTATCTCTTCTTCTTCTAAAAAATCTGCGAGTGAAAAAAATGGGCAGGAGCTGGTTCAAGAAATATCTCGCAACTTCAAATCCCCAGAAATTTTGTTTACCCCAGATAATAAAAATCATATAACTGAAACTTTATTTACCCTGGGTAAGAAAAATATCATTCACTTATATCAAAGAGCCAGCGATGCAGAAGATATCGCAATGAAAGCTAATCAAGAAAAGATACTAAAGATACTAAGCTGGTATTTATATGCTAAAGAGTTTTTAATTATGGTTAAGGACATCATGGTCAAAGGTAAAGTTGGCGAGAAAAAAGCAAAAAGTCAGGTTTATAATTTTATTATCTAACAACTTCCTAATACAAAGTGAAATAATTTATATGTGCAAACTCACAGAACTATAAAAATCTTTAATTTATTCAAAAAAATAGGGATAGATAAAGTTCGATATATCAGAACATATAGCGCTGTTACCGGCTAAAAATTCATTATTGAAAAGTTGATCTACAAAGAATTATTAAATGATTTACAAAAGTTACTGGAATTAATTTATATCAATTACAAATTAGAAGATCTGCATAATTCAGATTTTGATGATTCTTAGGATCAACAGGATTCTGGGGATTCATAGGATTCTTAGGATTTACTGGATTCATCGGATATCATGATTCGTTAGATTTTCCTAATTTCCCGTATTTCCATTATTTTAATTATTATCGTTATTTTTCTTATTTTCATTATTTTTATTATACTTATTATTATCGTTATAATTATTATTCTTCTTATAATCATTATCATTATTATATTTACACTTGTAGTTACAAATTTAGTTAGTTTATAA